GGGAACCTGTGCCCTCTGGAAGAGCATCTAGTGCACTTAACCACTGAGCCTTCTTGCCAGCCCCATGGCCATTACCTTACACTCTGTATTGATCAGCAGTAGCTTCAGCTCACACAGGCTGACTTCTCTCCTGCGGCTCAGCTACCTTGCTTCCTTTTATCTGTTTTTTTGCACGTATGTACTAGATATTATATTTCAGAAATTATTTATAAATATTGTTTGATGTGGATAAGGGCCTTTCTTTGCTCTAGTTACTATCTCATGTGTTTTCCTCAGGTGTTTGGGAGACCTGGAAGGTGGGCTGGTGTTAATTTTAGCACCATTTTAGCAACATGACTTCAGACATTCTTTGCTAAAACAATAAATTACCTAAGACAAAGGCAGTTTTAACTTTAGGCTCACTATCTGGAGAGTCACCTTCTTCTGGACCTAGCCTGGCAATTCTTTTATTATCATGGTAACCCACCCTTTAAACAGCCTCTTTCTTAGACTCATATGTGTATACATGACATCTACATCTATCTATCTATTTTCTTTCTACCTACCTATGATCTATCTATTATCTATCATCTATCTCTGGCTACTTCTATCAATCTACCTACCTATCATCTATCTATCTATTATCTATCTACCTATCATCTATATATCTAATATGTTGATATTTATATTATATGTGCATCTCACACGTGATAACAACAGGATTACATGAAACAATATACCAACTAATACAGCATATGTATATTTTTGTTTAGGTTGGCTAGTTAACAGTAATGAGAGAAATGACCCAAGTTATTTTTACTTTAATTGCTAAGAGTAGAAATCACCTTTGTCGTCAAGATCAGGTAGAAATACTGAACAGCCCTATATCCCCCAAGGAAATTGAAGCAGTCATTCACAGTCTCCCCTCCAAAAAAAGCCCCGGGCCAGATGGTTTAAGCGCGGAATTCTATCAGACCTTCAAAGAAGTGCTCACACCAATTCTCCTCAAACTATTTCACAAAATAGAAACAGAAGGTACATTACCAAACTCATTCTACGAAGCAACAGTCACCCTGATACCAAAACCACACAAAGACCCAACAAAAAAAGAGAACTTCAGACCTATCTCTCTTATGAACATTGACACAAAAATACTCAATAAAATACTTGCAAACCGAATCCAAGAACACATCAAAGATATCATCCACCACGACCAAGTAGGCTTCATCCCAGGCATGCAAGGCTGGTTCAACATACGGAAATCCATCAATGTAATCCACCACATAAACAAACTGAAGGAGAAAAACCACATGATCATCTCCTTAGATGCTGAAAAAGCATTTGACAAAGTCCAACACCCATTCATGTTTAAAGTCTTGGAGAGATCAGGATACAAGGCACATATCTAAACATAGTAAAGGCAATATACAGCAAGCCTATAGCCAACATCAAACTGAATGGAGAGAAACTTAAATCAATCCCACTGAAATCAGGGACAAGACAAGGTTGCCCACTCTCTCCCTACCTCTTCAACATAGTACTTGAAGTCCTAGCCAGAGCAGTAAGACAACTAAAGGAGATCAAGGGGATACAAATCGGAAAGGAAGAGGTCAAAGTGTCACTATTTGCAGATGATATGATAGTATATATGAGCGACCCCAAGAATTCAACCAGAGAACTCCTCCAGTTGATAAACACCTTCAGCAAAGTGGCAGGATACAAAATCAACTCAAAAAAATCAGAAGCCCTCCTGTATACCAAAGACAAAATGGCCGAGAAAGAAATTAGGGAAACAACACCCTTCACAATAGCCACTAACCACATAAAGTACCTTGGGGTGACACTAACCAAGCAAGTGAAAGACCTGTTTGAGAAAAACTTCAAGTCTCTGAAGAAGGAAATTGAAGAAGATCTCAGAAGATGGAAAGATCTCCCGTGCTCATGGATTGGTAGGATTAACATTGTGAAAATGGCCATCCTGCCAAAAGCAACCTACAGATTCAATGCAATTCCCATCAAAATACCAACTCAATTTTTTACAGACCTTGAAAAAAAGATTCTCAGCTTCTTATGGAGAAACAAAAAACCCAGAATCTCCAAAACAATTCCATACAACAACAGATTATCTGGAGGTATCTCCATCCCCGATCTCAAGTTGTACTACAGAGCAATAGTAATAAAAACTACATGGTATTGGCATAAAAACAGAAAGGAGGATCAATGGAACTGCATAGAAGACCCAGAAATAAACCCACACACCTATGAATACTCGATTTTTGACAAAGCAGCCAAAACCATTCAATGGAAAAAAGACAGCATCTTCAACAAATGGTGCTGGTCCAACTGGATGTCCACATGCAGAAAAATGAAAATAGATCTATATTTATCACCCTGCACAAAACTAAAGTCCAAGTGGATCAAAGACCTCAACATAAAACCAGATACTCTAAATCTGTTAGAAGAAAAAGTGGGGAACAGCCTAGAACTCATTGGCACAGGAGACAATTTCCTGAACAGAACACCAACAGCACAGGCTCTAAGAGCAACAATCAATAAATGGGACCTCATGAAACTGAAAAGCTTCTGTAAAGCAAAGGACACTGTCATCAAAACAAAATGCCTGCCTACAGATTGGGAAAGAATCTTCACTAACCCTTTATCTGACAGAGGACTAATATTAAGTATATACAAAGAACTAAAGAAGCTGAAAAGCAGCAAACCAAGTAATCCAATTAAAAAATGGGGAACAGAACTAAACAGAGAATTCTCGACAGAGGAATATCGAATGGCAGAGAAACACTTAAAGAAATGCTCATCCTCATTAGCCATCAGGGAAATGCAAATCAAAACGACCCTGAGATATCACCTTACACCCATCAGAATGGCCAAAATAAAAAACTCAAGGGACAACACATGCTGGAGAGGATGTGGAGAAAGGGGAACCCTCCTCCACTGCTGGTGGGAATGTAAACTGGTACAACCACTCTGGAAATCTATCTGGCGCTTTCTAAGACAATTAGGAATAGTGCTTTCTCAAGACCCAGCTATACCACTGCTAGGTATATACCCAAAGTTTGCTCAAGTACACAAAAGGGATATTTGCTCAACCATGTTTATAGCAGCTTTATTTGTAATAGCCAGAACCTGGAAACAACCCAGATGTCCATCAATGGAGGAATGGGTACAGAAATTGTGGTATTTTTACACAATGGAATACTACTCAGCAATCAAAAAGGAGGAAATCATGAAATTTGCAGGCAAATGGTGGGATCTAGAAAAGATCATCCTGAGTGAAATATCCGAGAAGGAGAAACACAAAAACGGTATATACTCACTTATATAGACCTATAAGAGATGATAAACATAATGAAATCTATACACCTAAAAAAGATAATCAAGAGAGCGGACATGGGGTAAGATTATCAATCCTCGTGTTGAAAGACAGAGGGGATGCGCATTGAACATTGACAGGAGTCTACTGAGCACATTTGAAAGACTCTAACTAGCAGTGTTTTCAAAGCAAAGACTCATGACCAAACCTTTGGCAGAGTACAGGGAATCATAAGAAAGAAGGGGAGTAAGTCTGATGAGGAAAGGATAGGAGCTCCACAAGGACCAAAGATATCTGGGCACAGGGTCTTTTCTGAGACTGACATGCAACCAAGGACCATGTATGAATGTAACCTAGAACCTCTGCTCAGATGTAGCCTGTGGTAGCTCAGTAACCAATTGGTTTCCCATAGTGAGGGGAACAAGGACTATTTCTAACAGGAACTCAATGACTGGCTCTTTGGCCTCCCCACCCCCCAAGGGAGGAGCAGTCTTGTTAGGCCACAGAGGAGAGCTTTGCAGCCAGTCCTGAAGATACCTGATAAAACAGGATCAGATGAATGGGGAGGAGGTCCCCCCTATCAGTGGACCTGGCAAGGGGCACGTGGAGATGAGGGAGGGAGGGAGGGACTGGGAGGGAATGAGGGATCGGGACACAGTTGGGATACAGAGTTAATAAAATGTAACTGATAAGAAAAAAATAAAATTCAAAAAAAAAAAAAAAAGAAATCACCTTTGTCACTTTTAAACAATTTATACTTTTCAAATTAAAAATATATTGGGTTAATTATTTTGATACTAATTGTTAAAATTATTATTTTAACAATTTTCTTATGTTTAAATTGCACTTCAGCACACAGAGCCTTCTCATACTGATCCTTCCTAAGTCTGAGTCTTGTTTTCCCTTCTGCACTTAGTTTATAAACCAGCCTTTGGCTCATTTCTTCAGAAACCAGGCCTGTATGTCACATTTTCTAAATCTTTGTATTCCCAAGAAACTATTACTTGACAATAGCTTCCTGAGGTACAGAAATGGGATCTACCAGCTCAGCCATTCTGGTTTTTCCTGGCACTTAGGGCTGGAAGCAGACGAAGACCAGTGTGATTCTGTTGATATTGCTTGTCCTGATTTATCTTTCTTGTATACTTTACAAGGCTTTCTTAGCCAGCAATCTTCAGAATTGTATGAGGCTATGGAAGTGTCTGTTCTTATTTGAGTTTTCATTACCTCTGCATATAAGTATAATGTATACTCTTACATTCTTGGCATAGAAACTAGCTTGTATTAGGAAAACATTTTTTTCTATCTATTATTTTTCTATAGATTGCTTTATTTCTGTAGGCTCTGTTTACTCTTGTTGGTATTCCAAGGATGTGGATATGGAGATTTAGTCTCCTGGGTTTATTCTCCATATGTCTCATAGTTATTCTCATTCTTACTGTATTCATTTCAATGGTTCCAAAACTATTGCTTATAGAATCTAGGCAGGTAACAATAAACAATATGAATGACACTAGCCTGGTTCAAAAATAATGAGTGACAAGGATTGAGGATAGCAACAATATTTCACCAAGATGCCAGTGTAAGAAAATAGCATCGGAATTGTACTCTTGTAGAAAAATTCACATCCGACTTTTAATATATACTACTCCTTAGTTGGAAAAAAGCTGAGAAAACCCCCACAACTTACCATTGGGAAGGTCTTGGTCACTCACGGAATGACTGGTCACATCACTGTCCTTCATAGTATTGTCATCCTTTGCAGAATCTGCTAACAAACAAAAGCGCTTTCAATCTTTATTTTCAGCTGAGAAAAGGAGCTTCTTCTATTGCTAACAGGATTGTTTTACATTTAAGATAACACACTTTATTATTTCAAACTCTAACCATTAAAACACTTAAATATTTTCACCGCCAAAGACTAGTTTCTTGAAATATAACCTAAGAAAGCAGTACAAAGCTTCAAAAGCAGAGAAAGTCATGGAGGAATCTTTGCAACAGAGAAGAAAGCATAAAGACAGTGTCACACACCAGTGAAAGTCTCAGAAATGTAGGAAAGGGTATGAAAAAAGGACAAAACAGAAAGGATTAAAGGAATGCCTAATTTTAATGTTCTCAGTGTTCCCAGGATTCTAGTCACACATGCACATGAATGCCAAGTCCCCAGAACAGTCAGCTATTGAATCTTGGAAATCAAGTCACAAGGTCATCCCAAGGTCCCAGAGCAGTTGACAAGGGCAAGGTGGGGATACAGAACTTCTGTTTTTTATAAGGTGATATACAGAACCCCTCAAAGCACCCTTTAAAATACGAAATCAACACATGCTCACTTTAAAATATTGTGTATACTTTACTTGTGCGTGTTTGTGTGTGCACATGTACAGATAGGGAGAACAGCAGGGCATGCATGTAGAGATAGATGGACAACTTGTGCTAATTGTTTTTCTCCTTCTACTCTGTAGGTCTCAGGAATCGAACTCAGGTCATCAGGTTTCCCGATAAGCCTTGTCAGCCCCTACATGCCCAGTCTTAATGTTGTAGCTTATACTATAGAACAAAGCACACAGCTCAAAGGAGTCTATGGTAGAGAACTTCTGTAATTTGAGAAGGGTAGATGTTGAGCCCTCTCTGGAGGATCTTGAAAAAAAGATATTGAAAAGAGCATATAGATATGCCGTCAGCAACACAGAAAGTAGGCCTTTTACTCATTTTACAGGTATTTGCCGATGGATAACTATATAGCAGATACGTACTAGCCTCGGGGACCCAACAGGACATAGATGTCTGCCTTCATGAAGCTTGCAACCTTGTATACCTTTGTTTCTTTCCTTTCTTCCTTCCTTAATTCTTTCTGCCTTCCTTTTTTCTATTTTTAAAAATTTTTCTTCATTAATTTATTTATTTAATCACTTTATAGCCTTTCCTTCTCCTCCCAGTCCTCTCCTCCCTAGTATACCTTTCTTACCCAAGGAGACAAAATTCAAGATAGCTCAATATAACTAGCTGATCTTGTCAACAGGCAGCTAGGGAGAAAACTGGAGCCATCAAAACTATGACTTAATTCCTATGAGTTGCTGCGTCTCTCTCGGCTTGTGCCTTTTAGTTGAGTTCTAATGTTCTGAGAGAGCAAATCAGACAGAATCTAAAATAAAATTTTGTTTGCCTCCCTTCCCTGTCTCCCTCTCTTCCATCTTCCTCTGCTTCTCAAAACTGGAGATAGCTTCAAACACGATGTTTTCCAGTTATTATCAGCAGTGTGCTTCCTCAGTCTGCCATGAGCAACATTTGACGGTGAGAGACCTGGCTAGTTACCGTATGATTCGGCTTTACTAACCAGTGAATCAAACATACACCGGAGTATGCAGCTTTAATTAACTGCAAATAATTCCCCCAAGGCAAGTGCTTAATCCTCTGCACTGCTTCTCAGTTCTTTCTGAGCCTAATAATAAGTTTAAAAGTCAAAAATTGGAAGCAAAATTGAGCACAGACACATTTACCCAAACTGTTATCTCACACATGTCAAAACGGTAAAACCAAGTCCCATTAAAATATGCTTTTTAATATGTTGGCATTACCATGGAAGAGAAGATTGAAGAGAAACACTTCAAATGCATTTCTCCATATTAACACCAAGAATAAATAATGGTTAATTAAAAAAATTTGTGTCAGCGTAAGAAATTGTTTTAGTTTTCTAGTTTATAAAAAAGGTTATTAGTTGGTAAGTAATTTTACACAACTCTCCTTTCTCCCAACATTAACATTTGAGAACTATCTGAGATTCATGTGTATGTAAGGTGTGTTAATTTATATGGAACAGCAACCACATATTGTACCAAATTTTTTTCTCAAGTGTCTTTTAGTTTCTTTATTTGTTGGTGTTCTTTTAGTTCAATTTTTGCTATGGAACTCAGACTAGGCTGGAACCTGTAATCCCCCCGCTTACTTGTTCTGAAGACTGAGATTACATATCCAGCTAAGAAATGTCTTTTAAGTGACTATGTGTTTTAAGTTCATAAGCTTGCAATAGAATGATTTATACAAAGTAAAAAGTAGATGAAAAGCATTTGAAAACTTAATCACTAGACTAGACCAGTTTTTGTAGCTCTGAACTACCTATAGGACATAATTGCCTTTGTGTTCTTTATCTCATTTTATGTACTGCATTTATTAGTGAATGAATCATGGTTAAGGGAGAATGGATTAATGAGAACAAAGTGAAGGTTAGGGAGGACAGGAGACTGACATGGGGAGTCCATCAGGATTTTCCCAGACCTGTGCTGAGACATTCACATCCCTCCACAAGCCTGCACTGCCAAGTGCTTTTGGTGCTATGGCCCTTGTAGAACAAACACCCTGGCTCGCCGAAACCCACTTCCATCTTCTCTGCTCACTTAGTTCCCCTTGCAGTCCTTAGTCCCTT